AATGAAGTGGCTCTCTCCAGTTGGGAACTTGTGGGAAGCTGCATGCAGAGCTGGTATGCGAGGTAGGTGGTTGGGGTAACAGGAAAGACCAGGCAAAGAGATTTGCTGGCAAAAGCAAGAAACTTGGTGAGTGGAGCCTCTTTTGCCCAGGGTGGTAGAATTCATATCTGCGAGATAAAATGGGAAGTAGCTTGGGGTCATGTTGAGAAGAGCCCGTGATGGGAATTGGAACTGCTGGTGATGATGAGTGTTTATCATCATGCAGGGAATCCCAAGGCTAGTAGCAAGGAATTAAAGGGAGGAAAACAGATTTAAGAAACTCTTTGGTGTTAGCTTCCACAGAATGTGGGCACGGGAGTGGGAGGCTATGAAGAAAGTAAGATAGGTAAAGGTGGCCCCAGGTGCCTTCTTTAGAGTAGATGGTCTATCAGAGACCTGACAATAGGCAATGTTCCCGGGGTCCAGGCAGAGGGGATGGCTGGCACAGAGGTCTGCCTGAGGTGGAGGGACTTGGTGTGATGTGTTCAGTTGCACCAGGGGCATCGGACTGAAGTTTAGGAATGATGGGGAGAACAGAGGGAGGGGAGCTTGGCCCAGATCATCTAGGGCCTCGTGGGTTTGGTAAAGGATTTGGATTTTATTCAAAATATATTTGTCAGCTATTGGAGGGTTTTAAAGGATATGCTGTATTTAACTGTATTTAAAAAGATGATTCTGGCTTCTCTCTGTAGAAAGGCTTTTATGGAGGTACAAATGAAATTAGGGACAGTAGGTCAAAGGTCACAGTAGCAGTTTAGGCGAGATAGAATGTAGAAAAGTGGATAACATCTCAGGAAAGTGTTAGTTGCTCAGTTGTGTCCGACTCTTCGCGACCCTATAGACTAAAGCCCTTCAGGCTCCTCTGTCCATGGAATTCTCCAGGCAAGAATACTGGAGTCGGGTAGCCATGCCCTTCTCCAGGAGATCTTCCCAACCCAGGGATTGAACCCAGGTCTCCCACATTGCAGGCAGAGTCTTTACTGTCTGAGCCACCAGACTGATCAAACATTGGAAGGATGTAAGCAAACCGTACTGGGCAAACAATAATGGAAAATGAACAGTTTCCTGTTTGATACCTAGAAGAATCTTTCTCAGTACCTTAATAACTAACATGCTTATCATTAAAATAACTGTCAAAAATGCTTACTTTGCAGAGGTCTGGGTCAACATGAAATATGACTTAAAACCCTAAGTGAAAATTGTGAGTTAAGTAGATTTTATAACTTAAGTGAGATTGAATGTTGGCTCGTCTATTGGTTCACAGCGGTGTAGTCTCAAAATAAAATTTGGATTTCTTACACAATCTGAAGGCATTTCCTGAACCTTTTTGTCTTGGGTAATATATTTATATTTCAGCTTAAATTCTCTGAACTGCAATTTTCCTATTTGTAAAATAAGGGTCATAACATTGCAGTGCAGGTTGTTCTAAGAACTAAATGGCTCAGAGTTTGGCATAGAGGAGAAATTTGGCAAAATCCTAGTTACTGTTAACAACAGTCTGGGGAAATTCTTCAGTAGCATTTCTCTGAATCATAAGGAAAATATCCTTTTGCCGGCTGGGAAGCCAATTTCCAAGGAAGTTAATTGAGATGATTCAGATCATCAAGAGGGCCTTTGTTAAAAGCAGAGCCAGCATCTGTGTGTAGATGAGTTGAAGACGCCTTGTCCCTGTGGCAGTACTGGAAGGACCTGAACCGTTCACTGGCTTCCATGGTTTCTCCGGAGACGTGGGGCTCCCTGATCCTTGCCCAGATTCGTGTGCCCTCCCCCTTGTTGATCGCCTCCTACTTTGGAATTGTCACTTGGATCCACTGCCATGTCTCAGGACCTGTTTGTTTCTAAAAGTCAGTGACTTCCCTCAAGAGCTGGCAGAGCAGGTCTGAGCGCTGAAAGAACTATGTGTGTTCTGATTGTGGCTTAGTTGAGAAAACTTGTGGGAAACGATGGAACTTTCTAGTATTTTCCTTTTACTCTCCAGTGCATTCATTTCTCTCTTCATTTTTCCTTTAGAACTTTAGACTATCATTTCAAATGCCAAAAACAATGTAGTACTGCTCTTTTAAGCCTATATTTGGTGTAGTAAGTAATCAGGCTCTGAGTACTCTTTTCTCTTTGAGTTGGGAGAATAAAAAGTTTAATAAAGTTATTCTGAACATAGCATACTATTCTTGCAGATCTTAAAAATATTAACACTTTTATTCATATATATGTATATATATAGATATATCAGATTTAACACATATGGTTTTCTTTTCTGTCAGAGAAAGTAGTAATGAGTCTATTACTCAACTACTTGGGAGAAGAATAGATCATCACAATCATACACAAGTGTCTATGACGTGACAGTCATTGCAGAGTGTGAGCAGATAGGAAATAGACTTCTTTCCAACATTCAAGAGACATTTCCCATGTGAGAAGAACATAACTGTGGTTTTGAGAATTGTAATGTGCATCTTGTCCTTGGCATTTGCTCAATCTCTAGAAATACCTCATTAATGTTTCCTCTGTGGCTCTTTTGTTGCCTTAGTTACATTTTTAACTATTTTAGATCTTTAAAAAAAACAAAACACGTCTTGAACTTTTAAACTGAAGAGAGAATTCTAATGTGTGAAATTCTTTGATTAAGTAAATAATACATTAACAGGATACAAGATTTTGAAACACTTTTCTTTTTTATATCCTGCTTTCTAAAGTGTATAGTAGGAAATTCTTGTTTAAAATTATACATTGAAGATACTCTAAGCATAATTTCAAAAAAGATTAAGTAAATGCCAGAGATCAGAAGACTCTTATTAACAGCCACTTCCATCTTGTCACTATGTTAATGTTGATGATGTCACGTCACATGGGTATAAGTCACTTGATTTTTTTCACTTCAAGTCAAAGAGTAAATGTGACTGAACCTTAATGTGTGGTGCCTTTAAAATGGTTTTTTTTTTTTTGTAAAAGAATTTGTCTTTTCTCATTCTTTATCACTTTTTTGTATACCTCATTCTCAGGTAATTCTGGGTCTTTTCACTGCTATTCAGTTATGTCTCAGGTTTGAGCTATGGAAATAGGTGTTTGTGCATGTATATATCTTGTGTGCACCATGAAACCATCAGACAAAGTGATTTTAAGGTAGTAATATTCATCCAGATGGAGTGATAGCAGTCATTTTGTTTCTCTTCCTCTGAAGAGATTGGCTTATCTAAATAGACGGAACAGTTTTCTGTTGTAGATGTTTCTTGTATCATTCAAGTAAAATTGAAAGTAATTTCTGTTTCTTTGAACAGGATGGCGTGAGAGGGCATTTTCTTTTTGAGAAAAATTATCATTGTATCTTAAAATGTAAAATTCAGTTGGTTATTCCAAGTATTTTGGTAAGACATTTATAATCTAGTAATGTGATCTAGTATTGTCTGTCTCTATATTGCTTAATTATACTGTGCTTTTCATAATTCCTGGAATTAGAGGCACATACCTTTATAAAAGACAGCTTTGTACTGAAAAAATTCTTGCCTTTGGGGGTGACAAGCACAGCTTTATAATAAGAGAAAATAAGACAGTTTTCTGTGGTAAGCAATTTTTTGACCCAGTGCCTAAAATTGGGGTTAAGAGTCACAAGACCCGAATCCTACCTTTACAACCTAAGGACCTTACATGGACTGTGTAGTTATGAATGAAACACTAATATGGTCACATGGATTATTTTTAAAATAATTTTCAATCAACCAAGTGACATATCACTTCATCCCTCTTGTTAAAACATACAGATGACACAGATACTCCTCCAGCACCCAGACTCCAGTGGGAATGTCCATCCTGTGTAAAAATAGAGCTACCTTGTACAATTATGGAGCGACTAAGTGTTCAGTATCCTCAGAGGAAAGCCTGTTCATTGTTTCTAAAAATATTTGTGTTTAAGTCAGATTGCCCTGGGCCAAGGAAAAACTTGAACTTCTCAAGGCTGAAGAGGAGGAGACCCACAGGACTGAGATTTTGGCCTGTGGTAGAACAGGATAGAGCAGGTTGAAGTAGAGAGGGAAGGAACATTCTTGTCCAAGGAGACACTGAAGTTTGTACAACTTAATCTAGTTAAAGCCAAACCTACATGAGACTTATTAGGAGAAGCAATCAGACTCAGTATACATGCCCACGTGTACATATCAAAAGAATTTCGCCAGAACCATCAATAAATTTGAAATGGAAAAGATGCCTAATTCTTGCTTATTTGGTTATTCACCCACATAATCCATACACTTGTTGACTACCATTGTGCATAAATGGCAAAGATTGTCCATACCTTATTTCTCATGTTCTTACCTCTGGTTTACAGATTAGGAGACTGATACTCAGAGAGTGTCAATAGCCTATCCCAAGGCCACATTGTTAGGAGAGAGAGGTGTGGGTTGGATGCTGTCAGTCAAACAGGCTCTTTTCTTGGCATCATGCTTCTTTGGAGATCAGCTAAGAATCCGTTTCTGGGATATACAGGTACAATGGTTTAATGCCTTTGACTCACTAAATGTCAGAAAAGTTTTGAATTCTCTTGGCATAAATTCATTACAGTTTAATACCATTGTAATTTCCTGAGCATCTGTTTTATGACAGAAAAGACACTCCCTAAGTATTTAACCACAGACCCTGACTCAGCTCTGGCCCATCAGTTTAAACCCTGCTTATCCATCAGTTGAATGTCAACTGGTGTTTCAGGCCTCAGGAAGTCCCATTAATAGCAGTGGGGAGTGTTTTAAACTCCCTTGACCTTTAAGTTAATTTAAAACAAACAAACAAACAAAAAAAAAAACACAGTATCATTCTCAAAAGCCTCACCTTAATCTGCTCTTGGCTATAGTTACAACGTTCTGATAGCAATCTCTCAGGTTGTTTGGGGGTTTGTATTGTTGGAGCACTGAAAACTTAAATGAACCTGCAGAATTTCATGACTGAGTGTCTGCCCTGTTTTTCCCTTTTTCTAGGTCTATTATTAGCAGAAGATTTTTCTGCATAGTTGGCACGCTGTACCTGTATCGGTGTATTACAATGTATGTAACCACACTCCCAGTACCCGGTATGCATTTCAACTGCTCTCCGAAGGTAAACCTTTCCTCACTGTAATTTCCCTTTTTGTTTTTTTCTCATCTTGTTCAGGGGGTCCTTTGATTTAGGCCAGAGGTGAAAATTTCTTTAGAATCAACCCCCCTTGCCTTCATCTGGGAACATTAGTGAGCAATATAGTTAGGTGACCCCACTCCTTCTCAAAAATTCCCAAACCCCGCCATCGCTTCCCAGCTGGGGGAATACATGGTCTCGTTAGTGTGATGGAAGCAGTTAAGCTTTGTGTGTGGGTGTAGCTCTTTGGTTTCCTGCCAAACTTTTAAAATGTCATTCGCTCCCTTGTTAACAGCTCCAGAAGCTTTTATATGCTTTTTCCCTCTCTTAGATGGAAAGTTCGATTTCAAATAATATTTTTTCCTTCTTTCTATTAAGCCCTACAGTGGGAATCCAGAAGAACAGAGCTAGAGACACCATTCCTGTCTCCTTGCACCCTTTTGCTGTTCAGTTGCTCAGTCGTGTCCGACTCTTTGCGACTCCATGGACTGCAGCACACCAGGCTTCCTTGTCCTTCACCGTGTCCCAGAGTTTGCTCAAACTCATGTCCTCCACCCACCAAATAAGATCTCTCCTCCCTGGTGGGGCACTTCACTGTCCTGATCTTCTCTAGTAGCAAATAAGCTTTTCTTTAAACTCTATTCCTCTCTCACTGTCTCTACCTTCCCATCAGATTAACCTAACACTCCTTACCCCAGCCTCTGCCTCGGCATAATTTCAACTGGGAAGATCATCATAACTTTATGAAAGAATTAGCAGGAGATTTAGTTTTTGAAATGTTTAACTGCATGAAAGCTCTTCAATGCAAAAAGAAGTAGAAACAGCTCATTTCCTCGATCTGGGTGGGAGAAAGTGTGGAATACTGTGATTGTATGTTTGAAATGTTTGGAAGCATTTCTTTGTATCACACTTGTGCTAGTGAAACACCCTTTCAGTTTCATTCATTTGCCCTTGTGTTCCTTCCATACAAGACATTCTTTTTGATAGAATCTTGGAAGAGGGCTGAAAAAAATCAATCCCTTGAAAGGATTTTTAAAGTGGTGACTTTATCATTTGAAATTTTGGATTTGTTTAGGTCGCTTGCTTATTGTGGGTCCCCTTCCTTCCTAGACCTAACATATGTGCTCAGAGGTATCTTGTTTCTTAATCCACTCTTGCATTCTTGCTGCAATCTGTTTCTGAACTAGAGAAGCCACCCTGGAGAATGAATGATCCCAAGGTTCCATCATCTCCCTCAGCGGTCCTGCCTCCCTTCACCTCCTTCTTGCTCTTTCTTCAGCCGTTGTAGAGAAAGCCAGCCTCACATCTTCTTTATCCTCAGTGAAAACTCTTCAGCACTTTCCTGAAGCTCCTGACTCATAGGTTTCTTCTTGTCACTGAGGATCCAGTGATGTAGACTCCCGCAGTGAGGCTGGCTTGATAAGCAGTGTGTTTTCAGTAGTCGGCTGATTGATGGTTTAGTTCAATCCTTAAAAAAAAAAAAAAATCTGTGCATGGGAAGTTTTTCCACCAAGGAGCATGTCATACGAGTTTAGGTAGAAGCGGAGTCTGGTCAAGCCCATGTTGAAGATAGGCCCAGCACCAAGGGGTCGTGCTGTGTAGCCTTTCTCCCAGATCTGGTTGCGGTCTATGTTTTCTTCAGACTTCTGCAGCTCCACTAGTCACCAGCAAACCCACTGTTGGTTAGCACTGGCACTTACATCTTGAGTCATCAGCATGTCTAACCAAGATCCTACAGTTAAAAATAGCTTGTGGGTTTTCTTGGTAAAGATAGAGGTTAACAGGAACTGTGTGCCCAACCAAACCCAGACATGTCACGTGTTTATCATGCTGCCAGAAACCCCAACTAGGGCTATCTTTCTGTGACAGTCTTCTGGAAATTGGAGTCTTTAAAGTGAAGTATACAGGAGGGAGTGAAATGCTAGCAAAAATTATTAGTAAAAACTCATTAAATCTAATTCTTTTGTAGAACAGAGCTCATCTAAGAATGGGTTCAAATGACAGTTTTTTATTCTGAAATTTTTCAACTGTATCTCAAGGAAGAGAAACCAGTATAAGGAAACTTCATATATACTAACACCCAAATTCATTTCTTATCAAGATTTGCTTACATTTGCTTCGTCTTACTTTCTTTTTTTTCTCTTGAAGTATTTTAAAACAAATCCCACACAGTGTTACTTCACTGCTTCATTCATGTTTAATATGCATCTAAATTTTTGGACATTTTATTTCGTAACTTTAATTCTGTTAATACCTTCAGCACAATTAACCGTAATTTTTTGGTACTGGTCATTACTAGTTCATGGAATATCTTGATTGTCTTTAAAAATGTCCTTTTTAAAAAAACAGTTGATTTGTGTAAATTAGGATCCAAAGACCGTATATAACATTTAGTTGTTCTGTTAAGTCTCTTCGTTCTAGAGCAGTTCTTTGCTCCCTACCCTACTCTTTTATAAATCCCATCAGTAACTGGTAGAGATCTAGCAGTTGTCCTGTAGAAGACACCACATTCTGGATTTATCCATTTCTTTGTCGTTCAATAAACTGCTTCCTCTCTCTTCCATATTTCCTTTAAATAGAAAGTTGTCGTGGAGACTTGGTTCAGTCATTTTAATTTTTTGGCAAGAACACTTCATGGGTAAATGCGAGTGATTTCTGAAGCTAGACAGAAGAATTGGAAAAGGTCTTGAAGGCTTGGTGGTACCTTTTAGAGTCAGATCAAGCTTAAGAAATTGGAGGTGAGACAAGGGCCAGAATACCACAGTGGGGAACAGTGTCCGAAAGGAGCAGAGGGGATTGCTAGAGAGATCCCAGAGACCAGCTTTGCCTGCCTTGGAGCCGTAACTGGGGCTGGGCTAGTCAGAACAGAAATGAACCTTACTGAAAGTCATCCAATTCAGTGTCTTGATATCCTCGCCACCACCATCTTAATCAAATTCTCTCTGAACATTTGCACAGAGAGGGAGTTATTACCTGTAACAATGCAAACCTGCCCAGCAGTAGAAAGAACACTGGGGTCAGAGTGAGGGTGGTGTCACCTGGTGCTTGCTAGTTGTGTGGCAGTTGCATCTAACATCTCAGAGCTTCGGTCCCTTTGTTGGCAAGCCAGGGCTTATGACACTTTTTGTATTGTCATAAGGAATTGTGAGAGTGAAAGAAGGCAGTGAATACGTGGGGTCTGTCTCTGTAAAAGGCTGTACAGAAGGACGAAAGCTTTTGGTGTCACCATTGTGCTTTCACCCCTAGACTGTGATTCATCCCCTGAAAATGTACTTAACATGCATTAAGCACCTGCTGTGACTGAGGTACTGGAGAGCAAGGGTGAGCAAAGTTGACGGAAGTCCCTGCCTTTGTAGAAAATGCCTGAAGACCACCTTAGCCAAACTTGCATCTTATATAATGTGGGAAATGCTGTTATATGAGGGCCTTAAGCTAAGCCACCGGCCCTAGGGATAGAGAGGAGGAGACCGATCTGAGCAGTATTTAAGCAGCTGAATCAGAACAACTTAGCAATACATTTGATACAGGGAATGAGGAGAGAAAGGAAGGATTTCAAAGGCGACTTTAGATTAAACAAATAGAGATTGAGGTACTTGCGAGACATCTAATTGGTGGTATCCAGGCCAATGAATAGTGTGCGTCTGAAGTTGAGAGGGAAGTCAGTGCTAGAAATTAAATATTTGTGATTCATCATATCCTGGATGGGATGGATATGGATGAAAAGGCCAGAGACAGGACATAAAAGTTGAGGCTTCCAGAACTGGGTATCCCCTGACTTGAGACACCATCCAAGGCCTGTCGGCTGGTGGATACTCTTAATGATTATCAATTATCATTAAACTCCAAGGGTAGAGAGTTGATTTTTAGAATATGATTTCATTTAACATAGGCGTGTGAACTTAAACTTGATTCTGTCATCATACAAAGCTCTATAATTAGTATATTTAATTCTTCTCTTAAGGCCCATTCTCAAAACGTATGGCTTCTAAGAAAAATGTTCCCACAGGTATACAATATTAATTATAAATATCGTCCCTAGTGCTCATTCATTTGATGACAGTGTTCTCTTTACTTCATAAAATGTTACTGCTCAAGGAAGTAATTGTCATGTGAAATGATGAGGTGAGGAAGAGAAGGAGGCATGTCATCAAATACTCCTGTAACAGAGATGAGCCGCTGGGGCGTGGGATGGGAAGGAGGCTTTCACTTCCTGGGTCAGGAGCTTCTGGGAGGCATTCGACTAGTGTCCCAGTATGTGACGTGCTGGGCTTAGGAGGTGGCCAAGTTTGTGACCTCTTGATTACCCCTTGTTAATAATCTCAGCACAGCTTTTCTCCAAGGAGCATATATCCAAACCAGAAAACACCCTCTTGTCATCTTTTCCAACTTTCTAGGATTCAGTTTTTAAAAACAAACAAGCAAAAAAAATGCCGAAGCATTCTTCTCTGTCCTAAGACTTCTGTAAGAAAAAATGTTGCTGTTTGGCAGACTCTACAAGAAAAAAAAAAAATCCAAATCTACCCCAGGCCCCAGATATACAGATACACTAATGTTATTTAAAGAGAGGGTATAACTTATGCTGTTTTCAACTCTCATTTTAATAATCACATGTGTTAATCAAGTGGCTGCGCTTTAAAGTGAGATTCACATTGGTTCTGTTTTTTTTGGTCTCCATGGTGACCTTAGATTTGAAAACCTTCAAAAAAGAGAGTTATGTTCCCGCCTGGGTACTTAGCTGGCTAATGCCTTAATCTGACATGGTGTTTTCAGTGAAATAATTCTCTTGAACTTCAAAGATGTGTCTTTTTATTTTTCCTTTCAACGTACTTGAACATAGCCCACTGTTGGACAAGGGTTATGTTTGGGTAGCATCTGAGATTCATTGTTCAGTGGAGCAGTAAAATACACATGTAATGACAGAGAGATCTTCGTATTCTTTACTGCCACTGTCAGCATGTGTGTGTGTGTGGGGGGGGGGCGGGGGG